ACACGACGTCTCAAAAAGGTTATTTTGTTTGTGTTTCAGTGGACATAACTTGCTATGACACAAATTAAAATATTGTGGATGGCCACACGATACCTACCAGATTAGTACCACTATGGATAGTCTCAGTTCTAGAAAATTTGCATCAGTCCTTACTATAACTCTCCTGGCCACTGAACAAACCTGCAGTACTGGTAAACCTGGAAGAATCTGTCAATTTAAACCTTGCAGCCACATTTAAGAAAGACAAACGCCAGACAACGAACAGAAAATAGGACAGATGACAGGGGGCTGCGAAAAGAACAGAAGTTGATATGACAGATCATCTACGAAATATGATCAGCAGCAGAAATAGGACTCTTCTGACTATAACTAAATGAGGTAAATGGATAAACAAAACACTTCAAGAGGCCAAAGCATCAGACTTTACTTACAATATAGCAAAACCCAAGTCTCGGGTTATGTCAATATTACAAAAATACTGCATAAGTAAAAAAAGAGTATTATGGAAATTTTGACGTATTCTGCTGTTTCATGATTTCAGAAAAACTGATCTAAATATCTCCCTTTACTCTCCCGTAATAATCTATATTTATATTTATCTAACAATGATTCCCAGTTTATATTTGTATAAACAGCCAGTATGGCGAGTTATCAGATGCAACTTCGTAATACATAACACAGTCTGCTCTCAGGGGCACAAGTCAGAACTGAGGTCTTCCAATTGCAAAGAAGTGAGAACCCTTATAGGCAATAACTACAGTATCCCTGCAAGTCCACCAAGCACAAGTGGAGTCAAAAGATCACAACCACCATATTACCACATAAACATCCCCTTTCAGACTCTAACTGAACAGAATGCGTTAAGATTTAAACTGTATTAAAAATGGTTGAAGAAATCAACAGGAGTTTTGCAGTCAATGGCTAAAAGCAGTCAGAAATCACACTCAGCACTCCCTCTACGCCCCCAAAAAAGAGGGAGGGGGAAAAAAAGTGCCAAATCTCACAATCAACAGTTACCCTCATTTACCTCAGTGTGAATCCAGTGAGCGGGAGGATGAACAGTGTCCTTTACTGCCAGCTCTAATATTCCTTCTCGTTCCAACAGGCCAGGGCTTGAACATATTGAGAATCCCCCAACTACAGAAACTCCAGGAATAAAGAAATCAACCCTAAAAATAGACCAGAAACAAAAGTTTTTTAAAAAGCCCAACAACCCCAAACATGGACAACAATAACCAAAACAAAATGGCTGCCTTTGTTTCAATTATCCTTCCTCTACAGACGTCTTCATTTCCATAACATAACTTTTCCAAAAAAGGACTTAACCTTGAGTAGCACCATTTCCTTAGAATTATTTTTATCTAGAAACTTGTCATCACCTTTGTTAAAGTAGCAGGTTTTTAAACCGTTCTGCTTTTAGCATTAGATGCCACATCTTACAACAGACTAGAATTCCAAGTGTTGAAATCAATTATTTGCGTATTAAAACAAAAACACAATATGGTCTGACAGAGTGGTTTAAATCCCACTCTTTTCAGCTCCTTTGATGGGCTCTTCAATTTTCAAACATAAGAAGATTGGGAAACTTATTTTAGGGACTTTTGATTAAACACTTTCTTTTCTTGGGAAGATGAAATATTTGAAGTAAAACCGCAGCCTGGAAAAAATTTCTAATGTGACAAACCCATGAGCGGCAGCAGAATTGCTTCACCTACTGAACTGCAGAGCCCTCTGGTGGCACATACCTCTTTCTATTGATGGGAAATTGAACTGGAATAAACTACAATTTTTTAAAGTTAAAGTAAACCACGCCTGGGTTTCTACAGATGAGAAGGTAACACATGGCTACGCTTTTGCAACCCCAGCAATTAGAGAGTATGGAAGGCAAGCCACTACTACACATGAGCTGTAATTCATTTTCATAAAAGTAAGGCTTTGATATTCCAACTAGCATCAGAGAAAGTTAGATGTTGGATTATGATGCAACATTTAAACCTCTCTGTTGCACAGATCTTTAATCACTTCGATTTTCCACAGCACGTAACAAAATGCCTGTATTTCAAAAGAAAACTAATGTTTAAAACTGATTGTGCTGCTCCACCTAGGAAACAATCACACTGGTGAGCACTGCCAAGTACTTGAGCATCATTATTCAATTCAAGCCTCAGGTAGGCTGGCTCGGTATTAGTTAAATAAGAAGGCAACAAGAAATACAGACTGGCTTCTACTGCCCAGATATTTTCTCTAAACACCAAGGCTGTATTCTTCACGGAAATCACAAGTTCTTGAGAGAGGAGAGAAGCACTTCAAATACTTCACTACTTTTTAAAGAAAAAATCTTGCCTGCTTATTCCCCACAAAGCTTCACCCTTCAATGAAAAATAACCTCTCTTTCCCCACAAAGAATGCACAAAAAGTGATATACACAGTACTACGGTGCTATAATTTTTAACTTTGTGCTAATCAACTTGATGGAGTATAAAGGTATCTGACGGCAAATGAAAGGTCAACAATCAAAAACAAATTGAGAAGGCTTATCTTGCTGTCCTCGGCTTTGCTGGCAGTAAGGATCTAAGAGATTAGAAAGGAGGACTTTTGTAGTGCAGCATTTATTGTATTAACCACCAACTGAGGATGCTGCTAAAGCTCTTTACCACCCTCTGCTGGAAAATAATCTTACTACTTACATTAACAAAAAAAACCAAAACAAAACCCAAACCAACTATATTTATGCTGTAAAGTAACATTTTTTATTCAAGTCAAAATGTTCTGCTTGACATACAAAGGAAATATTATTTGTGCCTGGTCGGGAGGCGTACAAACAAAAGCAAACATTGCTGTAAAACCTTAATCAAACGTAGTTTTTACCCTTCCAAAGTACTCATGTAGGCGTATGTTTCTTTCTATAATAGTATTTCTTTCCCAATTGCATAATTATGAAAGATTTCAGTGCATAATATACCATATTATAGTGGACTAGCCTGTATTTCTGACAGCTTGTCTCAGCTGTGTGTAGGAAGGCTGCAAGGACTCCTGAAGAAATGCTATCTGTGACAGCTTAAGCGAAAAGAGTAGTCTTAGGAAAAAGAGAAAAACAAACCAACACCTACATATAAACCCACAACAAGGAAAGGCACAATAAGATCTGAAACAGATTTTATGGTTGTTTTTATTTTTCCTCCTTTTAAAGGCCACCTAAGTTAAATCTTTAAGAAAATAACAACCATTAGCAATTCCTGGAGGAAGAAATCAGAAACACTAAAACTATAAGGCTACTTATTCAAAGTGCTTATAACATGCATATAACCTCAATGCATGTTTTAGCAAATCAAAACATGTGACAGCAACAAGTCTCTTCATTATTACTTGACGTCACATAAAGACCAGTATCCGCCAGCATGCTTGCAAAACAAATTCACTTTTGCCTCTGAAAAACTTGATAATTAGAACGCTTTCAAAAAATATACTCATTTTAGTGACAATCTTTGGCTGTAACATCTTCCTATAGCATATTCTAACAAGTTAGCCTTTTATACTCCGGAAATTGTGACCTGGTGTTTTGTACTGCTCATCAAAAAATGCAACTGCAGTTCAGAGCTACAAGTACAGAAAAACTGCGTTATCCTTTACAATAGCATTAGAATACTTTCAAGGAAGAAGAAAATGAAAAAGAGTAATTATAATTAAAGCTTTCAGTTTTCAGCACGATCATTTCTATAACATTTTTGGAGGGTAAATGCACTTTCCAAGTACTGGCACGCAAGAATTTAATATGAGTCACTGCACATGTGCAAAAACTGCAGCAAATTACTCCACAAACAAATTATTGCAATCAACATCTTGTGTTCTGGTTCTAAATTTAAAAGCCAGCATATTAACACTCCATGAGTAACATTTGCCATTGATACCCTAGCAGCTATAATTTGATTCCAGCAAAACCACTTTCAGATGGCCTAAGCCGGTAAAACATTTAAGAACATTTAAATGACCAATGCCAAAAGCAACTACTCATCATTTTAAATTAATTTCTAAGAGGAAAAAAAAGTGAGTGGGAATATTTTTAATAAGGAAGGAAGACAAACGTGAAAATCCATTCTTTCCCTTTTTTTCTGTAAGGATGCTTAGACAAACAGCTAGTTATTTCAAAAGTCTTAATAATTCAAGGATTTTTTTTTTCAAGTTTGCCTATCTATATTCATACATGAATCTGACCTAACAGGCTTAACCTTCAGAGTGGAAACTTCTAGGAGAAGAAACAAAAGTTAACAGGAAATTCTGATTTCATTATAAACCAAAACTAAGTAACTTGCAAATCAGCAGCACTCAACTGCTATAAATAGTAAATAAAGACAGTAAAGACAGCCTGCAGAATAAAGTGCAGTGCACTACAAAGTATTCTTGAAGAAACAATTAAGCCAGAGAAAAATACTGAAATGTTCACACTTTGTGTGAACAAAGTGAACATTTAAAGGAATCCATGTTTGCCCTTTTAAAATTATTATTAGCATATTTAATAATGGCTATTTTAAAATTATAACCCAATAATAAAGCATATTATGTAAATTAGCAGTTTATTCCAAGGCTTAAGTATCAGAGGCCTTTTAACATTTTGTTATAGTGGATTTCTGCTGCTAATTTTCCCCTCAAACATTGGAAGATCTTACCACTGTCCTGCTTTGAAAGTAAACTCTTTATTTGCGACAGCCAAACGAAGTCTTTTGACTGTCTCCGATTCATTGGTGATTCCACACACTTTTGCTTGTGAAATTACCTAGCAAAAGGAAAATAAGCCATTGTGTTACATAGGTATCATTTGCAGTACTCAAGAACCCGAGTATGAGATAGCCATCACTTTGCATATTACCTGTGGCATTTCATTACCTAAAGCACTTTTTTTCCACTGGCGTAAACAAAAATGGATTCACTTACATAGTCACTGAATAGAGAAATGGTTTTCTACTTACAGCTCACTATGTCTGTCACTTTTGTCAGGGTTATTCTAAGATTACACACAAATTTATTTTATTTCGGTTGAAGAGAACACAAGGACAAAGAGAAGTGATTGCTAGTTACCACTTTTCAGACTCTTTTGATATCTATAAAAAGGAAAACACTCCTGTATCTTTTCAACAACAAAGTGAAGCGATCTCTGATATAAAGACCAGCAAAGGAAACTCCTAAAACATTCCCTGCTACTGAAGTCCCAGGGAGAATTCTGGATTTGGATCTAGATTTATTTAAGTAATTAAATGCATTACTGAACAATTATGCAGTAATGTGTAACGCACTAACGAAAGAAAACAAACAAGCCTGCGTGTTTACACACGTACCCATTTGACCACATATGCAATCTATGAACATGGGGAAACTTGTGTAACAAGCGTTCACTGCTAGTTAACAGAAGACAGTTTTTTTGGCAACCAGATGTGAAGGGATGTAAGAGCCACATCTGATGCCACCTTTAAAAAGATTAAAGAAAAAAGAAAAGGCAATTTGCAACGGGACCACTGGGGAGGAGCTCCCCACTTAAAGTCTTTTGATGCCCATCCGTACAACATGGATTTTCATCCCCTCCTTGCCCTCCCTCTGCAGGTATTTTTGGGTTATAATCATTAACCTTTTTTCTCTACAAAGAACATAATGCCCTAAATATTTTCTACACCAGCCAATACACAGATTTTATTCTTAAAAAATGCTGATGTCATTTACCACACTAGGAAATACTAATAATACCACCACAATTCTATCATTTCTCCTTTGTATAACATCAAAACAGATTAAAAAAACCCAAAAAACTTTAAGCAGCTAAGCTCTAATTTAAAACACATGGCAGGAAATTAATTTATTCATAAAGCAACATCTGAACACGTCCACTGTCCCATTAAACAGCAGGACATTCGCCAATTTAAAATAAAGTAGCATACATTTCTTTTCCACTTCAGCAGATAGTATTAAATGGGGAATGCAATCACTCTAAGTTAACAAGAGAAATGTCAGATACATGACTTAAATGGTTGTTCTGATGGAGCAACCTTAAGTGCAAGACATGGACATTAAGTTTGGATCTTCTTCATTCCCTTCTTTACTCTTCAGTACACTCCCTAATTTGTTCTTTGCCTGAAAGAGCACTGGAAATTTAGTTCTTAATCAGTATAAAGTTATTACAAAAAATGGATTTAAGTCAGAGTGATCAAAGACATTTAACCAGTATTTTGGACCTTCACCAGAGTATCCAACTGACCCAGAGCAAGGCTGCAGTGAGAGGGAGGAGGACAAAGGACTCCAGACTTTGCTGCTATATTTCAAGAAAGTGTTAGGCACTTTTTCTTGCCCTAGTCCTTCACATTAGCACTATTAAACAGGCAATACCATGTAGCATGCACACTAATGAAACACAGACCTAGGACTCTTTCATCTCTCCACAGTACCAAAATGTCCAAATAAGGCAATACAGACTAAGGAAAGCCAACTGCCGATTATACGGAATTTAAAACCAAGCAGAGGATTTAAAATAAACTGATTTTAAACTGGTCAGAAATAAAGTAACAAAGAATAAATCAAGCATAAAAAAAGAAACAACATCTCCCTCTGATATGCAGAGAATTTGCAGTAGCAGATCTGAGCCCTGCCCTTTCACCTATCCCAAACAGCTTCCTTCTCTTCCTATGACCTTACACAGTTCCCTGGACCACCTCAGAGCTTCCAACACCTCCTAAAGATCCATTTTCAGCCATCCAGCATTTATTTTGAGCAGAAAAAGTAAGGAAGCCAAGCAATCAGAAATATCCAAGATAAAAAAACCCATGGTTGCAAAACTCAAAAGTGCATTGTTTTCATGTCAGAAGCAAACATGAATGCTCATCTGGCTGTACCTGTCTCTGCACTCGTTTTGTCCATACACTGTGTTAATGTGGCATAAATCGGATTGAGTTTGCATTCGTCTCATCCACCTACAGCCTATGTCACAAGTGCTGAATCTTCAGTTTTGAGGGTTACCTATGTATCTCCTCCACCCAGCTTCCTTCAAGAAGAATTCACTTGGCCCGTGACTTATTCTCAACTACAGTTAGGGAAAAACCTGGCAGAGAAAGACTTAATTATGTCCACATACACACATTAACAACTCTGCAGTGTGTTTGAGAACATAGTTTGTCCTGCTAAGTAACACATTCAGGACTGACCGGCCATGAACAGCTACTCAAGACTGAGACAAGGTCACTAAAAAATAGAGAAAAATTGAGCACTGTTTCCCAAATCCTGAGAATTAGAGATGGGATTCTTCAGTGAAAAAAGTGTCATACTTCTCCTAAAAAGTCTAAGAAAAATGCAGAATTGTGTCACTAGTGAAATGTTTTTGAGAATTGTAGTCATATTCTCCCAGTATTTAAAAAAAATCAAAACATCTACTTTAACTAATTACAGAAAGGAAATACCTACGTGAAATACAAGAGTATGTTCACCTCTGAACATTATGAAAAAGAATGCTCACTGCACAAAACTGAGATCCAGAATAAGCATTTCTGGATTTTGATGGAGAACCATGCTCTATCTTCCTTGTACTTGTGAATTAAACCAGATATAAACTACGACCCTTTTTGGAACTGTCTGTTGTCCATCCCTTCAAAATTTCTACACTTTTAATCTTACCTCCTATGTTATAAAAGGACATTTCCACATTTTTTTATCTCAAATTTTAATAAGAATTGTAGAAATCCATAAAAATCTGAGAAGGCTGCATAGAGATGAGGGGTAGTGCTATGCTTTCATTGCCTACCACAACCCATATATTACCAGAATTTCAGAATTCTATTAAATTTCTTGTTCAACATAAACAGCATCGTGTGTCACTAATAATTTTTAGAACTCATTACATTTCACACATTGACCACAAAATATACCTTCTCTACAACAATATCAAATATGAAAAATGAGGAGAAAAAGAACTATACCAGACTCCAGTAATGGAGAAAATGAAGCCTAAGAATCAAATATAATTATCCAGTTTCTTCACACCAGAAAAAATTATACCCTAAAGAACAGAATACTAACCTCTTGACGAAAATTATTGGCCGTCCTCTCTAAATGATCCATTTTTCTCTTTGACTGTATTGTGCTGCAACAAAAAGCAAAGAGAAATGCCAGTTTGAAAACTGCTACTGTCCCTCGCTGATAGGAATTTCTATTAACATAACAACTTGCCAGTGTAATTCAGCTGACGTTCCAGGTGATATAAATCAAAGTAAGACTTAAATACGCCTATATAAGTAGTATATAGCAGTTAAGTATTTATAGGTCTATATTCATTTGTTAGCTTCATTTTGACAACGTTATCATGACATTCTCTTTAAATAAAAGGGCAGCATTTGTAGATAGGTAGCTTACCCGTTCACTGTGCAGTAACAAAAAGCAGAGTGCCTCAACCTCACCAGTGCAGAATGAGTGGGAAAAACTCTGCTAGCACCTCTCAGTAATTGAGGAACAGTAAGACCCACATAAACAGTAGCGTGAGCCATGACGACTGGGCCGTCTTCAGAATCGCCAGCTCCTGAAAAATCCAAATAAATATTTGTTAAATAAAATACTCACTGTTTGACATGGCTTATTTTCATCCTTTATTCTCATTAAATCAGAAAGACCAAAGCTCAGCTGCAGCTAAAACTAGCAACAGACATAGAGAGTAACAAGAAGGAATTTTAGAAGTATTAAAGAATCGTAAAGTTGAGTGAAAATGTGCATCCACCAATTGAAGGGGAAGACAACCTTGTTACAGATCATATGGAAAAGGCTGAAGTACTCAACACTTTTTTGCCTCAATCTTCACAGGTAAAGCCTGCACCCAGATCTCTGCTCATACCAGCAGCATTCAGGAAGGAGCATAAGCAAGAGTGGGGCCAGGAACTGCTTAGAGAAGCTGGATGTGTTCAAATGCAGAGAGCCAGATGGGTTATGCTTAAGGCTGCTAAGAGACACAGCTGACATGGACAACTGCCTATTATCTGTGAAAAACAGTTATCAGACAAAGTCTCCAATTGCCTGGAAAAAACTAATACATGGTCATTTTTAAGAGAGGCAAGAAGCAGTGCCTGTGTCCAGTCAGCATCACCTCAGTCTCTGGAAAAATGCTCAGAGCTTGACCTCTCAACTGCATGGAAGCTAAGAAAGTGATCAGAGAGATTCAACAGAGATTTACCAAGGGCAAATTATGTTTGACAAAATTGAACAACTACTGTGATTAAATGTCGATGCAGCTAAGGGGACAGCAGCGGATACAATGTCCCTTGCCTTTTCTGTGCCATTTGACACCATCTCCCATAGCATACACATGAGGAAGCTGAGGCCAGAGGGACTGCTGGAGTGGCTGAAAACTGGCTGGGCAGGCAGAGAGACCTGCAGGCTTGATGTCCAGTTGCTGGCTCCTAAGAATACCCTGGGGTTGATGTTAGGGCTGACACAGTTCAATAATATTATTAATAACGTGGGTGATGAGACAGAACATACCATCAGCAAACATGTGGATTATACTAAAAGAGAGGGATGGTTGACATGTGGAATGGTAGAGCTTCACTTCAAAGAGGCACTGAGAAATGGCAGGACTGCAAAGCAGAAACCTCATGAGCCTAAAGTTAAGCACACAGATGTGCACCTGGGACAATCCAGCACTGGCAACTGTCCCGCTTCAAGCAGAAACTCTGGCTAGATACCACTCAGAAGTCCCTTCCAGGCAACATAGCTGCGATTCTAAATGCTCAACCAATACTTATGCTTGAAAGAAGATCAGACCAACACTGAGTATATATTCCTTTTCTATTGGTAAATAAAAGGTTCTGGTTGGAGAATTTTATAAACATTAAATAAAACTGTTTGTCTACAGGTTTATTTAAAAACACGTAAATTCTTCATACTTCCATCTATCCTACATAATACCTACATCTCTAAACAGTTAAGCGAGTAGCAGATGCTTGCATGCACTGAAGTGAAGCTTCAAAACTGCATACTCAAACAGAGCTATGACAGCCAAAGATACACTGACATGTACAATATTCAAAGTAAGTCAGAAATATCCTTCACTTGCAAAGTATAGGAACAGGTTCATAGTGAGCCAAGAGATATTTCTTGTTGCTCATAAATCTGCTTTTGTTTTTCCTAAAATGGATTAGCATCAGTCTCTCTCATATTATCATCACCTATCAAATTACCATATTATTGCTACAATGCAGTCCATTACTTCTTTAAAGCATTCTTAATCTTTTACTTCCATTTAAATCTTTTTTCCTGCATTCTTTTAAAGCTTGTAATTTATTTTCAAAATAATGTTGTTTTTTCATTTTGAATCTTTTGAAATGGCAACCATCCAGCTTGTTTAACTAACCAGGCCTATACTCTCTAGGCTTTCACTAACAGCTGCATTGCTGGTCACTTAGTAATTTGTCCTGTTTGTAATCTTGTGCAAATGGAAGGCAGAGCTTTCATAAATCTGGCTGCTCAGATATGGAATACATTTACTGTAACTACTCAAAATGCCAACTTTCAAGCATAAGAAATACTTCCTGCAGCTTTCAACTGTCCATATTTTTAATAGCTTTTTAGCACTCAATTCCAAAGCAGCTTGCAACTTTCCAAAGTGGAATTATTTAAAAGTCACCTACCACTAGTGAGCAAAATTTCTTCAACCTTTTTTGTGACAGCATATACAGAGTACAGTATTTAAACAAAACACTTTAGCACTTTCACATGCAAATGTGGAGAAGCTATTGATAACAGAAGTATTAACATTCTTAAATTATTTTAGCAAGACTAAACACACATCTAATGGAAAAGTCACATTCCTTTACATCAGCTTGTTCAGTCTGTGAATCCTCAGTACTCACAAATCATTGAGTTACTCAAATTCGTGAGATCATTCTATAATCTGGAGTCTTCTAGATAGCAGATCGTGCTTATATTAATCTACATCTCTCTTTTAAGCTTCCAAGTGCTTTTTGATTTATGTTTTCAAGCTTTTCACTCTACCATGTTAACTAATCCAAAGTAAAAATGAAGGAAGTTTGAAAGTGGACATTCGTATGCAAGCTACTTATGCCAATAGCTGTGACTAATTAAATAACCACATCACAATGAACCACATAAAGACTGATGCTTTGCTTCAGAGGCCAAGGACTGAGAATAAAGATTTAAGTATTTTTTCTAATATTTTTTTAAAATCACCTCATCATTCAAAACCCTTTTTGCAATTAACTGCTACTAAACACAGCGACATCTTGTGGCAAAATAAGTGGCCTAATTTTAAAATCCAATACAAAGATTCTGCACTGTTTCTTTTACATGTCAATCCTGCTGCTAAGGTTGACGGTCACTTAAAAGTGGGCTCATTCTCATTTACACTGCTACTATTTCAGAAAGCAAATATTTTCGGTTCTACACATGAAAATGTAAAACAAACAAACATTCAGTATCGATACATAACACTGAAAACAAAATAAATGTCAGCCTTATTTTATTGTAGCAGCTACAATTTTTAAGTCAAGGCTGAAAGATCCTATTGATAGAGAGTGCTTAAAGCCTGAAACTCTACCCCAAATTAAAAATAACTGTTGAACAGCAGTTCAAGATCCTTGCTCCATTTACACTACCATCAGTCACTTTCCAATCCCGAAAATAATTTTAAAAATCAACTTTAATTTTTACTTTGTAACTAAATAAATTCCAAAGTATCTTTTAATGAGTCCTGGTTCTCGTCTACCATGTACAAGTCTGAGTCATTCCTCTTCTAAATGTGAACAGCCTCTCCCCCATCTGTTATCTCCGCAACTTCCTTGGCTCATCCAGCTCTTTGGCAATTCCCCGCCCTCCAAGAAGTGCAGAGCTTCACCCTCCCAAACTCCTGTCTAGTGGGACATTCTCCCGTTATTTTTCTTCTTCTTCCTACCCAAGCCCTTATGGAAACAGCCACTCCAAATACGCCCTTTCTTGCTTTGCACTGCTGACAGAAATGAGTGCTTCTTTTAGTATATGACTCCTTCCTCTCCTCACTTAGAATTAAAATCAAGCAATTAATTCATTCTCCTTACCCTCTGACCCCCGGCCCCGTGTTAATATTGCTCGAGATCTATGACCACATCTCTTCTTTTCCTTGATCCTACATCAGCATCTGAAGGGAGGGAGTTGCTTTCAGTTAACTTCCACCACACGGAGGAGCAAACTACGACATAAGTTAATGCAAGAGAGTGTTGAGGGGGGAAACAAGGATACTTAAGCGAACAGAATAGGAAAACTTTTACCAAAAACAAATTTATAGATCGGTAAGAGATACCCCTCCAAAAGTCATCACCGAAAAAAGCTTTTCCCTTTGACCTAGGATGAAGCAGCACACGGAGATAAGTGGGGGTGAAGCCTGCGCTTAAGTGGAGCAGTCCTAGGGAGGCTGGAAGGCTGCGTCCCCGCCGCTCGGGCGGCCTCCCCGCCGCTCTCCCGCCTCGGCCCGGGAGGAGGAGGACAAGATGCCCCCTTCAGCCACAGGGGATCGCCGCTCCGCGCCGCCCGTGAGGGAAGGAAGGAGGTCAGGACGAGGGACCCGAGGCCAGGGGTCACAAAGGGCGGCCGGGCCGTCGGAGCGGGACTACCGCGGTGAGGAGAGGGGAGGGGGGGAGACCCTCACCCCCACACCGCTCCGCAATCGCGCGCAGTGCCTCGCTCTCCTCTCCCTGCACCCCGATCCCAAACGGACTCTCAGGGCACGCGGCCTGAACCCCACCGCAACGCCCCTACCCGGCACCGCATCACGTGACCCGAAGCGTACTCGCCCCGTCACGCGGTGGGGTGCGCGCGCGGTCGCTCTTGCGTCCCTTCCGCCTCGTCC